CAGGACCGATGTTAGTGTTCAGTGAAGTTAGGTCCACATGAAGTTTACTGGCTTGTGTCACAGGACAGGACATGAACAAAGGGAAGGAAAAAGGAAGGAAAACAAGAAAATATACATAGTTTCTATAGTGCTCCCCCCCCCCTTGGTTACAAGACTATAGTTACTATTTACAACTCATTTCCTTCTACTCATTTCATGTTTTCTTTACCCTCAGCCAAGACCTCTGCTGCTGGGGTTCTTTACCTGGTGGGGGTGGTTTACATCTTTTCTGAAAGGGCTGAGTCCGACGGTGCTACTATCTGCCAGGTTATCAGTAAGTGGGTTCAAGTGGTATATGTTGACTTCAACATCCGAAACAGCCCACCCCAAGGCCGTGCTTCTCTAACTGAAGACAATTCATGGAGCAACAGTATTTCTTTCCCTCTGGAAATGCAGTCTCAACATATTCTAGAGGATTGACTTCAAGAGACTTCGCTGGGGTTGTAGGCACTTTGTGTTTTTGTGGGGTTTATCTCCTAACCTGGTCCACACGTGTTTTACTAAGACGTGGAAAGTGTTTGCTACATCCTGCTCATAGAAACAAGGAGTGTGGTGTCATCAGTGCCAAGGAGGGAGGTGATGTGTGGGAGGTCAGATGACCTCTCCTGAGTAGTTACGGCCGAAAACTGGAGAGCTGACCCAGCCCGGGGCAGTGCTTGGAAAGTTGTTAGTCGTGCCTTGTAAAACTACTTCTTGCGCTGATATGGAGAAAAAGGCATTTTTCAGACAAAAGCGGCAAACCAGATGCCCCGGGCTGTGTCGATTTGTTTCATTAAAGATACTCGACCTTGCCCCGGCCGGTTTGGCTTAGCGGTTGGAGCATTGGCCTGCAGACCAGAGAGTCCTGGGTTCGGTTCCCACTCGACCTGGAACATCAGCTTCAGTGGGGGCCACTCCCTGCATTCATTTAAAATAATAATCAATAATTGTCCTGTTATTCTTTAAGATTTGTCTGCTCTTTCCATAGGACAAACAAGTATGTAAATGGGGAGATGCTAGATATCACCACCCTGGCTTTATTTAAGTCTCTCATCAAAATTTCCCCATGGATATAGTATCCATGGTTTACTACTCATGTAATGAGGAGACCTTCTAGGGGCTTCTGCTTGGTCCTTCCTACCATCTGAGCTGTGTTCCCAAGCCTGAGTGCGGGGACTCTGCCAATTGTCAAGCATGATTATTCCAATTGTACATTCACAGATTGGGGAATTGATCTCTGGACCTACTGGGTCCACTGTGATTAAAATGTGGGCTAAGTTTTTAACTATGATCCGGCCGCCATAAACCACCGCTTTCAATAGTGGACTGGAGTAACATTTGGGTCCCTAGGAGTTGGTGTCTACGTACTAGTGTACTCACTGTGAAGGGCAGACTTTTTGCTCCCACGGATCCTGAGCCCTGGTTCCACAGCTGTAGATACATTACAGAACAAAAGGGACTTTGCAGATGTAATTAAGGTTACTAATTCATTGACTTTAAAATAGGGAGAGTATCCTGGGTCATCCAGTTGGGCTGAGAGATAATAACTTAACACCTGGCACAAAGAGGAACTTATTCTCAAACCCACAGTTTCCAAACAAGTCATCTTTAAATCTGCTGAACTTCCCCACACTTGCCTTTACCTCTAGTTCCTGAATTTCATTTTCTGTGAGTTTTGGAGTCAGACAGAATTGAGTTCAGACTTCAGTTATTATTATTATTATTATTATTATTATTATTATTATTATTTTTTAAAGCTTCATTTAGACTGATTTCCCTCATCTACAAGCCAGAATAACAATATATATTTCACAGGACTGATTTAAGCACTAAATGAAGTAAAATCCCTGTATTATATTTAGCATGTGGCACAGCATATGGTACTCACAGGGTCACGTAGGTCCCCATCTTTCTCCTTCATGTGTGTCTTCCCCATCATTCTTCCTCCTTTTCTGCTTGTCCCTTGTCTTTTTTTTTTTTTTTTATGTTCTCTATTAGGTACTTTCTCTTCTTTTTTGTTCTTTTCTCCATCCTTTATTACCTCCCCCTCCCCCCCATATTTTCTCCTAGTCTTTTTTGTTATCCATCTACTCATATTATGGTCAATGAGCCTCAGTAAAAATGCACCCTACCTGTGCTTTCAAATTTATGATGTATAATTGATGTCCCTTTTCATCCCTGAGCTGTTTATGCACCTGCAATCGTCTTTGGCATCATATATAGGAAGTTGCCATCTTGCATAGTGTAGCAGTAAGGCATGTTTTAGATTTCCAGTTTTGGAAAAGCTCATAACTATTGACTTGATCAAAGGACTTATTCTTTTCACAGTTGGGCAGTTGCTAGCGTTGGTTTGCAGGCTCAGCTATGTCATTCTCTTGGATTTTGTAGCTCCTGGAGTCGTGTCTGTGTTTCAAGGACGAGGAAGAGTCAGGGTGAAGAGGAGGAGCGACCCACCGCTGGCCTCTGCTTAGATTTCCTAGGCCAGTCCTATGTCTCTCTCTGTGTTATTTTTTAAATGCATAAGCTTGTCTGTAGTGTGGTACGACAGGCATCTGCGGGGCATAGTAGGCAGGACTCTGGCCATGTTTTATTGTCTCTACAGTTTTGCAGTTTTTGGACTGTCATAGAGTTGGAATCCTAGTAAGCAGCCTTTTCAGATTTGCTTTTCACATTGAGCAATAGGCATTTAAGAATCTTCCATGTCCTTTTGGGGTTCGATGAATCGGTTCTCTTGATCACAGAATAGCATTCTGTTGAATAGATGTACCAAAGTTTGTTTATCCATCCACCTATTGAGGGACATTTTTGGTTGCTGCCAGTTTTTGGCAATCACGAATTAAGCTGCTATAAACATTCATAGGCAGGTTTTGGCATGGACATGCTTTTCTGTTTTTTGGTATGTGCCCTTAGCGGGAACTGAACCCGGGACTCTCTGGTCCACAGGCCAATGCTCCAGCTGCTGAGCCAAACCGGCCAGGGCAGTGTTTTTTTTTAATTAAAAAAAAAATCCTCACCTAAGGATATTTTTCCATTTATTTTCAGACCGGGGGGGGGGGGAATATGGGGGGGAGGGAGAGACAGAGAGAGAGAGAGAAACATCCATGTGAGAGCATGTTGATTGATTGCCTCCCACACAACTCTGACCAGGGCCGAGGACCAAATTGCAACCAGGGTACCTGCCCTTGACTGGAATTGAACCGTGACTCTGGTCTGAGGGCCGATGCTCTAACCGCTGAGCCAAACCGGCCAGGGCTGGACATGTGTGTTCAACATATTGGGGTAAATGCTGAGGAGCAACTGCTGCGTCGTATGGTGAACTGTGCTCAGCTTGGTAAGACGCGGTCTTCTGACGCGGTGGTGCCGCTCTGCTTCCCCACCAGCGGTGAGCGAAAGTTCCTGCTGCTGCACCAACAGTTTGCCAGTATTCGGTGTCATTGCTTTGGCTTTGAGCCAATGTAATCGGTGTATAGGTTGGCCTTGTTTTCACTCACTCTTTTTGTTCCGTTTAGAATGATCTTCAGGGCCCACTTCCAAGATGACCTCCCTTGGGAGGTCTTCCCTGATGCTGACCCCAGCAGAGCCCTGGCTGGTCCTCACTTGATCTCTTTCTTTTTGAAACCCTGTTTCTGACTTCCTGTCTTCGTGGCGGTTTACACACCTAAGATATTACTTCCCACTGCAGGATCCACCCTGAACCTCTCCACGGTTTCCGAGGGTTCCTGGGCCATTCCTTTCTCGTCATTGCCCTGCGCTGCCGGCTCCTGGGCTGTCTTCACCCCCCTTGAATCCACGCAGACCTGGAGCTCAGCTCCTTCGCTGGCTTTCGCAGGGACGTTGACCACCCGAGACTGTGTGGATGTGACAGCTTCATGTAGAGGGATTACAGAGTGGTATTCATGACCTCCTGACTGGCTCTCTGCTTTCTCTTTGTCTGATGTGTAACTGTTTCACATCTTCTTCTAAGCTTGGGGGGTGGCCACCATGCATGCCCCACGTACACGAACCTATTGGAAGTCGAACTACTGAGGCATATTGGTCACCAAAGCATCTATCTCTAAGGTAGGGGGAGTTTTTTTTTTTTCTTCCAACTTCTAAGAAAATACAATTTATCTCATCACATTGTATGTAGCTGTTTTCACACATCTCCTTTTTCTTTCTGGATAGTAAGATCCTCAAGAATAAGAATTAATTCTTCATCCCTCTGATTCCCATACCCCCTGCTTTAGAAGTGGTGGTCAGTACATTTTTATTGAATGAATACACTATATATGGCTTTGGTCTCTTTGAAAAACAAACACACACACACAAACAAGTGTATTTCTTGAACTAGAAGCAGTTAGCCCATTTTATGTCCAAGTGGAAACACTGACCATGGTTTCTTTGCCTAGTACTTAACATTTATTAAGAACTGACAGAGGACTCACAGACAAAGTTAAAATAGCCAACAGGAAAGGTCATGGTGACCCCCCCCCCCCCCCGGCAAAGGGATGGAATCAGATGATGAGAAGATATTGAAATATGGAAAAGACTGGTCTACTTCTTAGGAGCCGAATGTTGGATGAAGAGCTTCCATTCTCTCTGGTGACATCTGAGGAATGTCACTTAGCTCTACTTTGGTGCCTTTAATGTCGGAAAGTTTTTATGTAAACAGAAGCTAAAAGTAGATCACAAAGCAAGGGGAAATTAGACGGTGGACAGTTCTCAAGGACAAAATCCACAATATGGCAGTAATTTTCAACCCTGCAGGAAAAATCAGGAATAGTATATCCAAGCACTCTGATGATCGGCAGGTGGGTTCAAAGCGTTCCTGTGTCCGCAGTGGAGCGTCAAGGTATTCACTGTAGAATGGGGTCAGCTAGAACCCAGCTACTTGGTAGCACCCATTACAAAAACCCATATAGAAGGCTGAGAACTTGTTAGTGGTCCAAGGTTGTTGAGGAGATAAATGTGTCCTGGGCAATTGAAAATCATCCAACTGGCTTTTAGCAGATGGGCTCACAGCAGGTGGGCTCACAGCAGGTGGGCTCACAGCAGTAGCAGCAGCAGGCTGGGCGGCAGGCAGACTGTCCACAGTAGGATGGGCGGCAGCAGGAGGCCTGGGCATGGTGCAGCTGGCAGCAGGTAGGGGGGGTGCAGCTCATCACACAGCAGGGGGGCAGGCAGGTGTCCTCCACGCGGCAGTCAGGGCGGCACCACCTGGTGCGGCAGCTCATAGCTCCACAGCCACCAGCCTGGCCACAGCCAGTGCCACAGCCAGTCCCGCAGCCCATCCCACAGCCGGTTCCACAGCCGGTCCCGCAGCCCATCCCACAGCTGGTTCCACAGCAGCTGGGCTGGCAGCAGCTGGACCCACAGTCCCCACCAGTGGAGCAGCTGGGAAACCCACAGAAGCTGGTGGTGCAGCAGGCCATGGTGCCAGGAGTTGGGTTGCTTGGAGGAGTTTTGTTGGTGACTTCTGTGTTGGGCCTTTTATATATCCTGGCCAGCTGCTATTTATACGATTCTTAACATACCTTCCTTGTTTTTGTTTAAATGTGTTCCTCAGTGGGCCTCTGATTGGCTGACATTGAAATATGTGTGACACATTATGAGCAGCAGTTTAGAAATTACTTTGTTTTATAGTTTCATTTGGACTCCTCATATCGGTCTTTTGCCCTTCGGAATAGGTTTGTGGTTTTCCATGTTCAAAGAGTCCTCCTATTTTTGTCCATGTCAACACACTTGCTTTATGGAGGTGTTTGTTCCATGTGATACTCTGTCCAGACCCCGAAGGCTAAGGATAATTGTGCTCCTTTTTTTTTTTTTTTTTTTTAAATAACTATAATTCTTTTCTTTTGGGTATGTAGACTAAATTCTCTTGAATTTAGGACATCAGGACATCCACTGAATTGAGTACCTTCTGTCATGCATAATTTAATTTACAAGTCATTTACTCCAACATCAAATAAAAATCCCGCTGTAGTTCCTTTTATTTCAACCAACTGGAAATGTGAGAATATTATTTGTATTTCAGGCCAAAAATCTTCTCTTGTGAACCAAATGACATAGTATATATAAAAGTAGCTAGCAGAGTGCTTCGTTTCCAGTAGAACCTTACTATTTACTGAATATGATTTTGAACGGGCGGAGGAAGGCATGATTCATGGATGCCTAGACCACTCAATCAGTAGAACCTTCATGCTTAGTACCTCTCATGGAGGAGTCCTTGTTATTGTCCAAAGAGACCAGGAAATGCTGGAAATTTTTTTCTGCAGTTGATAGTTGAACCAAGGCTCAGGAAAAACACCTGGGTGTTATGACCTTTAGAAGAATACGCTGCCATTTACTTTATTTTGCTACTAATTAAATGGCAGAATTAAGTGCTGAGAGCTTGTAAATAACTTGGAAAATACTTGCCTTAAAGTGTCTACTATTTTGTCATGTTATGTTTTGTATATTGCACTCAAATACTTGAGAATAATGGAAAATTAATTGGTAAAATGGATTTTTGGTCTACATCTGGGCTAAATTCTTTTTATTTTATTTTAATTTTTTTTTGCAGTTTTTTTTTTTTTTTTTAAATCCTCACCCGAGGACATTTTTTTATTTTTTTGTTCAGATAGAGTGGGAGGGAGAGAGAGAGAGAAACATCGATGTGAAAGGACACATCGAGTGGCTGCCACCCGCACAAGTAACCAGGGCCGGGGACAAACTGCAACCAAGGTACGTGTCCTTAGCGGGAACCAAACCCGGGTCTCTCCAGACTGCAGGCCAGCGCTCTAATCACTGAGCCAAACCGGCCAGGATTTATTTTAATTTTTTAATAATTTTTATTTATTGATTTTAGAGAGAAAAGAAGGGAGAGGGAGAGAGAGATAGAGACATTGATGAGCAAGAACATGGATTGGCTGCCTCCCATATGCCCCCCACTGGGGATCGGGCCCACAACCTGGGCATGTGCCCTGACTGGGAATCAAACCAGCAACTTCCTGGTGCATGGGTCAACGCTCAACCACTGAGCCACATCAGCCAGGCTGTGCTAACTTCTTAAGAGAACATCTTTCAAATTGGATTACAAAGTGCAAAATATATAGTTGTTTCATATTTCGAATGCATGTATCTGACAAATGGTGATGGCGGAATTCACTGGCTATCTACAAAGCTGTTTATTCTAACTTCATTTAAACCAATGATTCACCCTACACATGCTTATAATAAATGGGGGTGAGTGCTGGGAGTTGAAACTTAGAGATCACTTTGGGGATCAGTAGGCAGAATATAATAGCCTAAGGCATAGGAATTAAAACCTAAATACTCTTGGAAAATGGATAATGTCTGATAGATAGTATCTGGTAGATATTTTAAGATCTATTTAGTAGGCAATACAATTTCTTTGATATTGGGCACGCATGAAGGAGAACATCTAGTATATTAAAAGGAAGGAGATTCAAAATGATAGAAGTACATCTAGATAGAAATCTCAGCCCTGGCCGGTTTGGCTCAGTGGTTGAAGTGTCGGCCTGCGGATCAGAGAGTCCCAGGTTCTGTTCCCGCTAGGGGCATGTACCAAAAAAAAAAAAAAGAAGGAAAGAAATCTCGTAGCTCTGATCAACCTGGATATTTTAACTAAAAGTGGCCTTACTGGTACAGACCTAGTCATACTAGATTGGAGCATGTATTTAAATAACTACAAACACTATTTAATGCATGGAACATTTTATTAACTGATGAATGGAAGCATATTGTAACTTGTATTTAATCTTTCTGGTTTAAATTTTATAGTTATGTTTTAAGATTATTATCAAAATGCAAATCCACTTGTCAATTTCAGCTAAAGGGAGACAAACTAAAAGACAGAAGGAAGAAAATGACTCAGTTTTCTTAGCACATTTAAACATTTTATTTGAAATTAACAGGGGATATTCAAGGAGAAAACCAGTCTAAAATGTATGGGGAGCAAGAGATAGGGAAGAGAACAGAGTCACTGATTGGACACTCTGATTGATACATGTTTTCAGTGAGCTAATAAATCCTCAGACTTGTTATTTCTGAGCGCTTAGAAACATCGTGATACTTAGCATCCAAGTAAAGGTGAACACTTCTTCAGAGATCAAGGCAGTTTTCCTGCCGGTCTCCTTTCATTCTTAAATAACCAGCAACCTTCCTTTTAGCAGGTGGGCTCACAGCAGGTGGGCTGGCAGCAGTAGCAGCAGCAGGCTGGGCGGCAGGCAGACTGTCCACAGTAGGATGGGCGGCAGCAGGAGGCCTGGGCATGGTGCAGCTGGCAGCAGGTTGGGGGGGTGCAGCTCACCACACAGCAGGGGGGCAGGCAGGTGTCCTCCACGCGGCAGTCAGGGCGGCACCACCTGGTGCGGCAGCTCATAGCTCCACAGCCACCAGCCTGGCCACAGCCAGTGCCACAGCCGGTCCCACAGCTGGTCCCGCAGCCCATCCCACAGCCGGTCCCACAGCCGGTCCCACAGCCCATCCCACAGCTGGTCCCGCAGCCCATCCCACAGCCGGTCCCACAGCTGGTCCCGCAGCCCATCCCACAGCAGCTGGTCTGGCAGCAGGTGGGCTGGCAGCAGCTGGTCTGGCAGCAGGTGGGCTGGCAGCAGCTGGTCTGGCAACAGCTGGGCTGGCAGCAGCTGGGGCCACAGGTGCCGCAGGAACAGCTGGGAAACCCACAGAAGCTAGTGGTGCAGCAGGCCATGGTGGCAGGAGTTGGGCTGAGAAATGTGTTGTTAAGAGAAGTGTCTGAGTTTTGACTGCACCTTTTACATCTGGCCTTTTATATAGTCACCTAGCGACACCTATTTTCCTACCGTTTAGCATCTTTCCTTGATGCTGTTTGCAAAGTCAGTCTCTAATTGGCTAATACCTGAGTTGTTTAGAAAGTTATAAATAACATTTCAATAGCCTGCTTTGGTCATTGCTCAATTAATTTTCATTATGTTTCTTCTGTGCCCTGTGGATGAAGTGAAGGCCCATTACTGAAGCCAAGCATGGCAGCTCCTTTGTATGTCAGTCACACGCCAGACGTAACTGGAGCCAACCACTGCCCTGACTGGCTTTGCTGGATCTGTCCTTTGATGACCTTTAGGCAGAGTTTGTGGAAACTGAGCATTTTCTTAGTAGGTGGTCACTCAATTAGGATCATGATTTCATAAACGAGTTGTCTGGGCTTGGGATAACTAGCATTGGTGTCATCGAAACATGAGCTTGATTCATCAACATCCTAAAGAAGTGAGCCACCTAGGATGAGTGTGCCTTTCTAGCCTCAGAACTTTAAAGGGCGTTTTGTCTTCAGCCATCAGTGTACGTATTCCCAAACAAGACCCTTAATGACTTTAGCTTGTAGATTGTTTTCTGACTGTGCTAAATTAAAAATATATGCTAGTCATGAACACACATTTTAACAAGTCAAACAGTACAAAGGCACACATAGAAAAGTTAATATTTTCCCTCCCTTCCCCAAAACACACACACCCTTCCAAAACTAGTATTCCAGAAGCTAATCAAGATTAAGTTTGGTGGCTTCTCTTCAATACTTTTCTTCCTGTCTTTGCAAACATGAACCAGCATATACACATCTATCTTCTAAGTCAGTAAAGTTGGGGGTCTCTTACACATATTTATTTTTAAACCATTTAATGGTAGTAAAATGCACATAACATTTATTTACCATCTTAATCATTTTTAGGAGTACTGCTCACTAGGGTTAAGTAAATTTACATTTTGGATGCTTTTAATTTTGTGAAGCAGACACTCTCTACCCATTAAACCACTTTCCCATTCTCCCCTCCCCAACCCTTGGCAGCACCGTTCTACTTTGTGTCTTGATGAATTTGACCACTCTTGGTACCTCATACAAGTGAAATCATACAGTGTCTGTCTTTTTGTGACACGCTTATTTCACTTAGCTTCATGTTCTCACGGGTCATCCATGTTGTAGAATGTGTCAGAATTTCCTTTCTTTTAAAAATTTTATCGTTGACACTATTACAGATATCCCCCATTTTCCCTCTCTTTGCCCACCTCCACCCAGCCTCTGCTCCCCCTCCCTCTGGCCTTCCCCACACTGTTGTCTGTGTCCATGGGCTATGTCTATATGTTCTTTGGCTAATCTTTCACCTTCTTTCATCTGGTCCTCCCACCCCCATCTTCTCTTCCATCTGTAATATTGTATTGTATGCATACACTATAATTTGTTTATCCATTCATCCATCAACAGACACTCGGGTTGCTTCCACCTTTCGGCTATGTGATCAATACTGCTTTTGGTTTGCAAACTGGACCTCATATTCGAAGGGCAAGGAGAGACCAAAGAAAGAGGCAGAGCACTCCATAATGGCAGAGGGCAGGTTTAAAAAGCAAGGGAACTTACTTATGAGGCTTATCTTGGGTGATAGCAAAATAAGCAGATCACTTCAACTGCCTGCCAAATCTTAAAAGTTTACATGGAGGCTTTAACTGGATTTCGTGATGTATTCCCTCCAGAGGTCTCAACAACGCATTGCTCTCTCAACAGCTCACATTGTGGGAATGGTAGGCAGCGAGGACATTCTAGGGGCAGGGGAGGGAACGAGCCTTGGAATGCCGGGGTCCAGCTCTTGAGTCAACCAGTGGTCACGTTCTCTTGATTACCTCCTCTACCAGCTACCATGAACATGTGTACACATATCTCTTCAAGACTGTGCTTTCAATTCTTTTGGGTAAACATCTAGAAATGGAAATGCTACTTTATATGGTAATTCTATTTTTAGTTTTTTTAATAACTGCTTTCCCATAGTGGCTGGACTATTTTACATTCCCACCAAGAGTGCACAAGAGTTCCAATTTCTACACATGCTTGCCAACACATTTTGGTTTTTTATTTGTTGCTTTTTATGAGAGTAGCCATGGGTGTGAGGTGGTATGTCATTGTGGTAAAATTGAATTTTCCCAATTATTAGTGACATTGAGCATCTTTTCATGCACTTGTTGGCCCTTTGTATATCTTCTTTAGAGAAATGTCCATTCATATCATTTGCCCAACTTTTAATTGTTGTTGTTGTTGAGTATAGGAGTTCTTTATACAGTCTGAATATTAACTCCTTACTGGATATATAATTTGTAAATATTTGCTCCCATTCTGTAGATTACCTATCAATTTTGTTAATTGTGTCCCTTGATGCACAGAAGTTTTCATTTTGATGTAATTCAATTTACCTATTTTTTACTCTGTTGCTTATGCTTTTGGTGTCATATCCCAGAAATCATTGCTAAATCTAATGTCATGAAACTTTTCTCCCTTATGTTTTCTATTATGAGTTTTAGCTCTTACATTTAGGTCTTTGATCCATTTGAGTTAAATTTTTTTGTATAGTACAAGGTAGAGGCCTTCTTCTTCTTCTTCTTCTTCTTCTTCTTCTTCTTCTTCTTCTTCTTCTCATTCTTCTCCTCCTCCCCACTCCTCCCCTTCGCCCTTCTCCTCTTCCTCCTCTTCCTTCTTCTTCTTTGCATGTACATATCCAGTTTTTCCAGTACCATTTGTTGGAAAGACTGACCTTTCCTCATGAATGGTCTTGGCACACTTGTTGGAAATCATTTGACCATATATGTGTTGGTTTATTTCTGGGCTGCCCTTCCTATTTATCTATATGTCTGCCTTTATGTCAGTACCATACAGTTTTGATTACTATAATTTTATAACATAATTTGAAATCAGAAAGTGTGATCCCTCTAGCTTTGTTCTTCCTTCTAAAGATTGCTTTGGCTATTTGTTTTTGTTTGCTTGTTTTGTGGCTCCATACAAATTTTAGGATTTTTTCTATTTCTGTGACAAACATCATGGACTTTAGATAGAGATTGCATTGAATTTTTAGATTCCTTTAGGTAGTATGGACCAAAAGCCATGAGCATGGACACCTTTCCATTTATTTCTGTTTTCTTTCATTTATTTCATCAATGTCTTATAGTTTTCACTGTACAAATCCTTCACTTCCTTGGTAAAATTTATGTCTAAGTATTCTTTTTTTGTGCCATAGTACATGGGATTGTTTTCTTAATTTAGCTTTCTGATAGGTTGTTGATAATGTATAGAAATGCAGCTGATTTTGTACATTGATTTTGTATCCTGAAACTTTACTGAATATGTTGATTAGTTCTAACAGTTTTTTTGGTGGTCTTTAGGGTTTTCTATATATAATATTATGTCATATGCAAATAGAGACTACTTCATTCTTTCTGATTTAGATAACTTTTCTTTCTTTCTTTCTTTCTTTCTTTCTTTCTTTCTTTCTTTCTTTCTTTCTTTTTTTTTCCTAATTATTCTAGCTAGGACTTCCAATACTATGATAAATGGAGTAGGTAAAAGTGGGCATCCTTCTTCTGTTATCGATGTTAGAAGAAAAACTCCCAGTTTTTCTCCACTGAGTATGATGTTAGTGTGGCCTTTTCATATATGACTTTTATTATGTTGGGGTTGTTTCCTTCCAGTCCTAGTTGTTGAGTGGTGTTTTGTCTTTTAATCATAAAAGACTGTTAAATTTTATCAATTTTTTTCAGTGTAGCAATTGAGATAAGCATATGTTCCCCCTTCATTCTGCTATGTGACGTATCACATTGATTGATTTTCATATGTTGAAAATCTACTTGGTCATGGTGTATATCCTATTAATGTGCTTTTGGATTCTGTTTGATAGTATTTTTTCAAGGAATATCGCATCAATATTAATGAAGGATATTGGTCTATAATTGTATTTTCTGACTTTGGTATCAGGATAATGCTGGCTTCATAGGATGAGTTTGGAAGTGTTTCCCCTCTTTCATTTTTTGGAAGAATTTGAGAAAGATTGGTCTTATTTTTTTTGTTTGTTTGTTTGTTTGTTCGTTTGGTAGAATTCATGATACTGGAATTTTCTGATACTGGAATTTTCTCTGTTGGGAGGTTGTTTATTACTGATTCAATCTCCTTATTAGTTATAGCTCTGTTCAGATTTCTATTTCTTTATGATTCAGTTTCGATGGGAATTACTCATTTCATCTAGGTTCTCCGAGTTGTTGGCTAATTCTATACATATTATTACTAGTTCTTTTAAATATGTAATATTGCAGAGTCTGAGCACACCACACCTTATTCAGTCATCTCCTACTGATAAGTACTCAATTGTTTTTAGTTTGAGCTTTTGAATTTTAAAATATCATAGAATTTTAAGCTGAAAGTGACTTTAAGCAGGTACAGAATTAGGTGATTAGAGGTGGTCCCATGATGTAGGGAACTGAGCTCTTAATTGAGAATTAAATTAATTAAACCAAATAAGCTTCTCAAACTGGTTCTAAGTGACCGAACCTCAGAAAAGTCACTTAGTCCCTCTGCTTAGTCCCTTGCTTTAGTCATCTGTAAGATGAGATGACACCTCCAGGGCTGAAATTGTGTCATTGCTCCACCAGATCATTCATTCCTTAAGGGCATGATCTGCCCATGTCTGGTTCACCTTGCTTTCTACTCATTACCTTCCGCACCACCTTGCATGTAGATGCTCAGTATGTGCTTGTTGAATTGAAGAGGGAATGAATGGTTGGCAGCGTATGGTAATGGTAAACAACTAGATTTCCTGTTACCAAAGTCACTTGTCCATTTCCTTTCTCATCAGGAGCTGTTAGGTAGTGACACCTGAAGGTTGTCAGTAGGTGGAATCAGAGGGGTAAGAGGAGAGATGTGTCTTCATTTTTATTCTGTTGTTCAAGGGGTGTCTTCTGGATTGATCGTGTCTCTAGGTGCTATGTCGGGAAAACTGACATTGCTTACATGTTATCCTTCATTCATGCTTTCTAATTACTTAATTTTTATTAACCCTTGAATGAATAAAGCATTGTAAATTGTAACCAAAATAATATTCTTTTTTTTTTTTTATCCTCACCTGAGGGTATGTTTATTGATGAGAGAGAGAGAGAGAGATCAGTTGCTTCCCTTACATTCCCCAACTGGTGCTGGCACCCATAGTCCAGGTATGTGTCCTTACGGGGAATTGAACCCACAGCCTTCTGATGTATGGGGTGATGCTCCAGCCAACCGAGCCACCCAGCCAGCGCCAAAGTAATATTCTTTTTTTTTTTTTTATCCTCACCTGAGGACACTATTCTACTTTCTTGTTCAGATAGAGTGGGAGGGAGAGAGAGGAAGAGAGAGAGAGAGAAACATTGACGTGAAAGGGACACATCGAGTGGCTGCCACCTGCTCGACCAACCAGGGCCAGGGACAAACTGCAACCGAGGCATATGCCCTTAGCGGGAACCAAACCCGGGTCTCTCTGGACCACAGGCTGACTCTCTAACCGCTGAGCCAAACCAGCCAGGGCCAAAGTAACATTCTTAATAAAAAATAATACCTTCAGTCTCATCCAGTTTTAATCCCAAGGAGCCATTAATTAATCCTGATCCTGTCTTCAAAACCACCCAAACTTATGAAATATTCTGTAATACTTGTGTTTAAATGTGTATCAATTCGTCATATATGTGTATTATATATACGTGAATGGATATGTATAATAAATATGTGTGTAATTCTGTTAAGTATACATTTTAAGCCAAAGTACACACGTTGATTCTAAAAACAGAGCAAAAACTTTGTTATCCTCACTTTCAGTTTAGAAACCAGGGGAGAAGTTTTGGGAGTAAAAATGTCCATCTAATTAAAAGCATATTCCCTCAGAGAGGCTTCCCCAACTTGTAGTTCTCTTGCTTTACTCTGTGAGACCACGTGTAAAGGAACTGTTGCCTGAAAGAGAATTCCTCTAATAGACATGAAAAATCACTCCTACTCTGGCGCTAGAGTCAGAGGTCCTGACTTCGGTAGCTTTCTGGTGTGAAAGCAATGTGTTAAGTCAGGATATGGCCACCGAGCTGTGCCGTTTCTGAGCCCCTAGCACTGCTTTTGCTGGATCTTTGTATGGGGATTAACCTCCATCCGATCTGATCAAATGTCCTAACATTGTATAAGAAGAGCAGTGTGGTCCGGCCGGTGTGGCTCAGTGGTTGAGCGCTGACCCCTGCACCAAGAGGTCACCTGTTCAATTCCCGGTCAGGGCACATGTCCAGGTTGTGGGCATGCAGGAGGTGGCCAATCGATGTTCTCTCTCATCGACGTTTCTATCTCTCTCTCTCACTTCCTCTTTCTCTAAAATCAATAAACGGAAAAGAAGAAATGTGTGGGATCGCAAAACCAGATTAAAGTGTTTTGTATGACTTTCTATGAAATAGACATCAGGAGCACACTCAATGAAGAGAAAGCGATATGTCTGCTGCACCAAATAGATATAATTTATTAGACCGTGGAATGGTACGCCCCTCTTGTGGGAAGTGCAGTTGGCAGGATGGTGGAGTGTAGGAGGCAAGTGTTGCTGAGGAGTACAGATGGTTCTTCACGGCCTCGGCGGCACTGAGCCCTGGAGCATGGGGTCAGACACTTGTGGAAGGTCAATCCCAACACAAACTGGTGTTCCCATTTCTTGAGTCAGATTTGTGTTTTGGCAGCCTCAATGGGGAGATCAGATCTGTGAGGCTCAAATATTTGGTAACCCCCAAAACAAAAGCCAAATAAAAGTTCAAGAACTTGTTAGTGGTCCAGGCATGGCTGAAGAGGTAATTAGTTCATGGATTGAGTTGGAAGCTGAAACTTCAGGTTGAAAATCAGCAACCTGGCTTTTAGCAGGTGGGCTTTTAGCAGGTGGGCTCACAGCAGGTGGGCTGGCAGCAGTAGCAGCAGCAGGCTGGGCGGCAGGCAGACTGTCCACAGTAGGATGGGCGGCAGCAGGAGGCCTGGGCATGGTGCAGCTGGCAGCAGGTTGGGGGGGTGCAGCTCATCACACAGCAGGGGGGCAGGCAGGTGTCCTCCACGCGGCAGTCAGGGCGGCACCACCTGGTGCGGCAGCTCATAGCTCCACAGCCACCAGCCTGGCCACAGCCAGTGCCACAGCCGGTCCCACAGCCGGTCCCACAGCCCATCCCACAGCCGGTCCCACAGCAGCTGGTCTGGCAGCAGGTGGGCTGGCAGCAGCTGGGCTGGCAGCAGGTGGGCTGGCAGCAGCTGGGCTGGCAGCAGCTGGTCTGGCAACAGCTGGGCTGGCAGCAGCTGGGGCCACAGGTGCCGCAGGAACAGCTGGGAAACCCACAGAAGCTAGTGGTGCAGCAGGCCATGGTGACAGGAGTTGTGTTGAGAGTTGGGTTGCTTGGAGAATTTTCTAGTTTTGGCGATGACTTCCACATTGGGCCTTATATAAGCCCTGGCCAGCTATTATTTACATACTTCCCAAAGTCTCTTCCTTGTTTGTGTTTAAATAACTTGTTTTTGAATGCTAATTGCTCTGGTCCTGAGTTATTTGTTCGACCTTCTGAAAGCCTTTAAAAGTTTATTTTATGTGGTCTTCAATTAGGATTCTTCACCATGGCCAAGTAGTCAGTCATTAGCGTTTGTTGAGTACATAACCCCTAATTTCCCATATTTGTTACAATTTGCTCATTGCCTGAAGAACAATTGACTGATGCCTCACCTTTAAGGAGTGTCAATATTACTCAGTGTTGACCCTAATCACTGAACTCTTGGGTCTCACATGACAGTTTAATTCTCAGCAACATGGCCTCCGATGTTGACAGCTGCCCCCTCTCTACCCTTTCTTCTCTTGACTTTGCAAAATGATTCAGCTGGCCAGAATGCGATGCTCTCACGGGGGCTAGGAACTATGGGTGGGTTGCTACTGAAAACATTTTTGAAACACTTATGTGTCCACACAGTTCCAAGTACTTGGCTTGCATCAATTCATTTAATTTTCACAGCCATCCTACGGGGTGGGTACTGTTGCTATTCCATCATCTATATGAGGACACTAAGCCCTAAACCGATTGAACTCCTTCACTCAAGTTCACACGAACACATGTGAATCTGAAATCTGAACCCATGCCATCTGACTCCAAACTAAGCTCTTTAAACCGTTACAGTCAATTCTGTCTTTTCCAGGTAAGCAGGAAAATAAAAGAAAGAATAATAAAAGAAAAAGAAAAGAAAAGTCGCCCCCTTTCTTGCAAATGTTTGGAGGGTAAAGGGAGGAAAGACAGAGTGTAGGGTGAGTAATAACACTGTTGATTAGAGATTTCTCTGGAGATTTAATTTTTTTTAAAAGTATGTAATAAGCATCCGTGAAGAAAAATCTTAAGTGCTAATAGAGTTAAACTACTTGACTTGTGACTCCATTCAGTCTTTGATTTTAGGCTAGTCTATGTATTTAAATGTTCTTTTCTTAAAACTGAGATACAATTAACATATAACATTGTATTAGTTTTAAGTGTACAATGTAATGAAATGATTTGATATATGTATATATTATGAAATGATCAGCACAGTAAGTTAATTAAGATGCATTACCACTGTAGTTACACATTTTTTTCTTGTGATGAGAACAAATGTTTTTAACTACACAAAAAAATCATGCTCTTAATATATAAAACTGGCGTATGCCCGGCCGGTGTTGCTCAGTGGTTGAGCATCAACCCATGCACCGAGAGGTCACTGGTTTGATTCCTGGTCAGGGCACATGCCCAGGTTGTGGGCCAAATCCCCAGTGGGGGGTATGTAAGAGGTGGCCAATCAATGTTCTCTCATTGATGTTTCTATCTCTCTCTCCCTCTCCCTTCCTCTCTCTCTAAAATCAATAAAGAAAATAAATAAATGAATAAAATAAAACTGGAGTATGTGGCATACTGTGGTGTTAGACCTACAGTGTGCATTTCACTGTAAATGTCAGAGACTAATCCAATGTCATTTACAGGGTTTGAACCAGAACACCAAGTGTTAGCTCTGCTTCTCTAGAAATGACAACTTTGAGTTCAGACCATAACTCTCCCCAAGTGAGAATTAAGAAATTTTCAAATTCCACATCAAATGTGAATCGAAAGGTAGGGTTCTTTGTGAATTTGTTTGCTTCTTCTCCCTTCACAAATCTGTATCACTGATTCTTTGATTAGCTAATTTTCCCACCGTGGACGTTTGAAATATGTGGATTTGTCATTACTACAATCTCAGGATCTATCTAATTCATATCTAAATTCAGTAGAATCTTTGATACTAAAGTGATTTATCTCCCCTTGCACAAATCTCAGATGTTTGAGGAGTTGAAATGCATGTTGATAAGGGCGCTGGAGATATTAACACTATGTCATATTTCCATATCTGTGCTTTTCTACTGTGGCTTGCTTTCAACATCTTTCTCAGTCCAAAATTCAACTCAATTTTCACATTTCTAGTCTTCAGGTGCCCTGAGATAATTCTTAAGAATAAGATGTTCTAGTCAGGATTCTCTAGAGAAACAGAACCAACAGGATATATAAACACAGGAGTGGGCAAAAGTAGGTTGTGAGGGACACTCTTTTCCGTTAATAAAGCTATTGTAATAATCGTAACCTGCGTGTCTTTGTCCATACGGACAACTGTAAACCTACTTTTTTCTACCCCTGTATATAAAGTATAAACATATATGTTTATTTATTATGAGGGATTGGCTCATATGATCATGGAGGGGAGAAGTCCCACCAGGAGCACTGACCTGAGGGCAGAAGACAATGAATGTCCCAGCTCGATCAAGAGAGCAAATTTGCCCTTCTCCTGCCTTTTTGGTTTTATTCAGGCCCTCAGTGGATTAACTGATGCCTGACTGCATTGGTGAGGTGATCTATCTTTTTATTATTTTATTAATTAATTTAGTTTTAAAATTTTTTATTAATTTATTTTTGTTACAGATGTCTCTCCTTTTTTTCCCCATTGACACCCTCCTCCTCTTCCCCCCCACCCTGTACCCAGCTTTGTTGTCCATGTCCATTGGTTATGTGTACATGCATATAAGTTCTGTGGTTTATCTCTTCCCTCCTCCCATCACCCCTCCTCTGAGGGTTGTCAGTCTATACCCTACTTCCACGTCTCTGGGTCTACCCTATTCCTCAGACTGTTATGTTCATTATATTCCACAAATAAGTGAGATCATGTGATATTTGTCTTTCTCTGCTTGGCTTATTTTGCTTAGGCTAATACTTTCCAGGTCCCTCCATGTCATCTCAAAGGATAAGAGATCTTTCTTTCTTACAGCTGCATAGTACTCCATTGTGTATATGTACCACAGCTTTTTTATCCATTCGTCTACTGGTGGACACTTGGGCTGTTTCCAGATCTTAGCTATTGTAAATAGTGCTGCTATGAACATGGGGGTACATATATTCTTCCTGATTGGTGTTTCAGGCTTCTTAGGGTATATTCCTAGGTGATCCATCTTTTTAAATCAATCTTCGATTGAATGCTAATCTCTCCTAAAAACACCCTCAGTGGCTCACCCAGAAATAATATTATCTGCTTATCCCTTAGCCCACTCAACTTGAGACAAAATTAATTCTCACAAATCCTGCCAGTGTGGTTTAGCAGTTAAGCATCGGCCCATGCATTGAGAGGTCACTGGTTCAATACCCAGTTAAGATACATACCCAGATTGCGGGCTCGATCCCCAGTAAGGGGTGTGCAGGAGGCAGCTGAACAGTGTTTCTCACATCGATGTTTCTAACTCTCTCCCTCTTCCTTCCTCTTTTTCTAAAATCCATAAAAATATATTTATAATATTAAATAAAGAAATGAATTCTTCATTAAAAAATTAACTATCGCATAATGTATGATACTTAAAATTTGAGAATTCTCCCCCTCTGTCACAGATGAAAGATTAGTCTGAACATTAGTCTGAACATTCCCTTCCCTCCCCTAAATAATCCCCCAAATAAATAAAAAAAATCAAGTTTTTTTTTTTCCAACTACTTAAACCCATTTCTTCCTGATTGGTCCTCATACAAATAGAGTAAGAAGTTGACTCCTTTGTGATCTTCCCCATGTAGATATTCTATCCTACTCAAATGCCGGTACTCCTGTTGGTGGTCTTTGGGGGAAGAAATACCAGCAACTTTACATTTAAAGCTTTTTACTATTACTGTGCTCATTCCTTTTGGTTTTAGTTACTTCATTTAAGTTATTCCAGATCATTCCAGTACCATAAGAGAGGATGTGTTTATCTGATTTTTAAATGTTTATAGATACTAATGTATTGAATTATTTTTCTTGAAGATGTCAGGATTGCGTTGTTCTAGTTATGTTTTGGGGGTTCTTTCACTTTCTTAAACTCATTTAATCAGTTCTCTATATCATTGTGCCTGCCTTACTTAAATTCCTGAGAGCTAAGACATGGTGGATGCACCAACCAAATCAATGCCCCCAACTTTTTATCCGAAACCAAGTAACATGACTTTTCTCTCTTCCCCTAGATCCCAGCCTGCCTCCTTTCCGTGCTTCTGAGCTGAAACCTTCTAAGTGAAAGGTGCATCCAATCTAAATCATCCCGACCTGATGGGAGGCAGGAGAGTGGCAGAGGGGGGAGTAGAGTGTTGACAGCCTTTGGGAGGTGTTGTATGAGAATGTGTGGATTGTGCCCTGAAGGGGGTGTTCTGTCCCCCAGAGGAAGGAGGACCTTATTCTTCACACAAAGAGCTGTGGGCTCAATAAGCTGCACATTCCTTGGGGTGCACTGAGCCAAAGGTGGTGTCTTTTTCTAATCTTTGTGACGTTGTGTTTGCGGAGACCCCCATCCCTTTGACTTTTTAAAATATTGAGGTGAAATTTACGTAACATAAATGACCATTTTAAAGGGTACAGTGGAGTGGCCTTTGGTGCATTCACTACGGGTGCCCCCTCCTCTCCAGCTCCAACCCTTTCCTCACCCAGAGGAATGCCCAACAGCCTTTAAGAATCACCCCTCCTTCCCCTCTCCCTCCAGCGGTTGGCTCACAACTTTGATTTTAAGACCCCAAAGATTTGATGTGTTATAATAGAAGCCCCATTATGTGTCTTTCATTTCATTCTTGCTTCATTCTAGAACTCTCTGCGGAGACTGGAATGAAAATGGGGATATGCCACCCCATTCATTTAAGTTCATCCCTGGAACGGATGTTTATGTTCTGCTTCACAATACACAAGAGAACTGCAGAGCTATTATAAAAACATTTTGTGAGGTATATTTCGAGGAACAGCAGGATGCAGGATGCTAGTTGGGGACAGGTGACTGGAGAATCCCCTGGTTAGGTCAGTTTGGGAGCTCCGCTTACGGAGGCCGCTTTGGGCCATCTCGGGCCCTTGATATTCCAGTGTGCTTTATACATATGAAATGGTGCTAACACATGCAACAGCGTTTGACCATTGACTACATTTTCGGCTTTGGGAATTGAAGGGACTGTCAGTGTGCCACCTGTTTAGAAAACGACCTTATGCCTGGAAGGGACATTGTAAGTGAAACTCCAATTCTCCCATTTGCCCAGGCAGGTGAAGGGATTGCACAAGAATTCATGGATTATTAGTTACAGGGCGGGGTCTAGAACTCAAGATGCCTTTACATCTTATGTATTATTGTAGAATCTTGTGTTTATTGTCTTTCCAATTATGCATTACCCCTTTTAAGCCCTTGCTGAGTGAAACACTTGTGTACAGAATCATATATAAATGAAAGGAACAGATTTGGCAATGTTGTCAAGAAGCTAAATGACATAAAATTCCTTTTTGTAAAGTTCTTCTGCACACCAGTCCATCAATTGCACATTTGAGGACCTCGAGAAATAGTTCATAAATACTGATGTATTCTTTCAATCACATATTTTGGTTGCAGAATATTGGACCATTTAATGGCAAAACAAAAGAAAATCACCTTTTATTTTACTAAAAATCTTTTTTAATTTAATTAATTTGTTTTTGTTACAGATGTTTCTTCTTTATCCCCCACTGACACCCTCCTCCCATCCCCCACCCCCAGAATTGTTTTCTATGTCCATTGGTTATGCCTATATGCATAAGTTCTTTGGTTTATCTCTTACCTCCCCTCTGCCCCCCTCCTCTGAGGTTTGTCAGTCTGAACCCTACTTCTATGCCTCTGGGTCTATTTTGTTCATTACCTTATTTTGTTCATTATATTCCACAAAACCACCTTTTAAAGACCACTCTTAAAGGCACAGTAATGGAAAACCATACCTCTATGCTGCATTTATTGAGATTTTGAAAAATCCAAGTACCCCAGTAGTAATAACAAGTTCCAAAGTAAAGAACTCTTCAACAATGACTTCATCACTGAAGAATGAAAATTTTTATTAAATCCCAAACCCAATGAGCTGTAGAAATATTTCAGGTGGTATTTATAGCAATATATTATGCACTCTTTTCACATTGTAGGACTTCGGTTGATATCCAGGCCTATGAAATATTTTTGGCCTTCTATTATATACGTTACATCTTAGGGAAATCATGTAGCCATGTGACAAGAGGTTGCAAGCTGGTTATGGGTATTGAAGCTCGGAAGTCTGTAGGGACTCTACACTGGTTAGTTTGGATGTGCTGTTTTCTCAGGATTCCCTTCAGAAGGAGGTTTTCAACAGGTGGGCTCACAGCAGGTGGGCTGGCAGCAAGTGGGCTCACAGCAGGTGGGCTGGCAGCAGTAGCAGCAGCAGGCTGGACGGCAGGCAGACTGTCCACAGTAGGATGGGCGGCAGCAGGAGGCCTGGGCATGGTGCAGCTGGCAGCAGGTTGGGGGGGTGCAGCTCACCACACAGCAGGGGGGCAAGCAGGTGTCCTCCACGCGGCAGTCAGGGCGGCACCACCTGGTGCGGCAGCTCATAGCTCCACAGCCACCAGCCTGGCCACAGCCAGTGCCACAGCCGGTTCCACAGCCGGTCCCACAGCCCGTTCCACAGCAGCTGGTTGGCTGGCAGCAGCTGGTCTGGCAGCAGGTTGGCTGGCAGCAGCTGGTCTGGCAGCAGCTGGTTGGCTGGCAGCAACTGGTCTGGCAGCAGCTGGGCTGGCAGCAGCTGGTCTGGCAACAGGTTGGCTGGCAGCAGCTGGTCTGGCAGCAGCTGGGGCCACAGGTGCCGCAGGAACAGCTGGGAAACCCACAGAAGCTGGTGGTGCAGCAGGCCATGGTGGCAGGAGTCGGGTTGCTTGGAGGAGTTTCTGTGTTAGGGCTGCTTGTTCCACTTGGGCCTTTTATAGGCCATTTTCTGGGTGATGAAAAGCATTTTTATCTTGTTACTCTTTAAGCAAGCTTTCCCAGGGCCCTCTGATTATTCAAATCCTGAGTTATTTTAAATATATGTCCAAATTGGTTTTTCCTTATTGCTCAGCTAGCATTCACCAAATATGTTTGGTAGTCCTCGTTAGCGTTTTGATGTTTTGTATCCAAACAATGCTGTAATTTTCACCTGACAAAGTGACTCTCACTCATGAGATGATGAGATTTTGGGGTCATATTCACCAAAACTTAAGTCTTCAGAAAAAAATATTAACCGTTGGTTGTTATTGTTAACCACTGCCTTTATGTAAGGCTATCTATATATTTTTTGGATTAATAAGATTATAGTCTTGACAATTACCCAGATAGAAACTCTGATAAACTCCATATTCATAGAAATTCATAGATCTTTCTAGAAATTGGGTCTCTCCAATTTCTATGCTCTCTCCTGAAGTTCCCACATTCAGCCTTGAGGAAACTTTTATCACTCAGGAGGACACATGGAACAAAACCAGTTCCATTCCAATTTAATGTGCATATTTTGATATTACAAATTTAAAATAAGGGTTAAAATTTATATCCAGTAATTAGGGGGAAAAAATCACACAAAAAATGTGTATTTCTATGAATCATGTAAATCACTGCTCTACAGATTATCTGGACAGTATTTATTTCTCAAAGGTGGGATTCATTTCAGTTTACGTCACTTTCTGTAACTCCACCTTGTATCTTATGAAAAGATATCAGAACAAGGAGCACAACAACTTGATTCACAAAGGGGAAAGAATAAAAGAAAAAGCCGGACTTTGGAAATACTTTTTCTGGGTGATAGTGCTTGTAAGACAGGTTAGGAAATGAGGGATCAAATATTGTTCAATAAGTGCAAAGAGAGTCAAATAAATTCCAGCAAAATAAAAGTTGAAACCATTCCTCGTGGTTGCTAAAAGAAAAAGTATGACTTTCCATTTGATGTTCATGGTTACATGGGGGGAATGAAAAAAACAAAACAAAAAAACCAAGTTGTGGCCAAAAGAACTTAGTATTGCTACTTGTGGTAGGCTTATTCCTTCCGATCATGAACAGAAGCACATAGTCAGCTTTTATGAGGTAGAGGTGTTGGTTAGAACGAGGACAAATTTAAAAAGTGATTCATGCTGGTGTCAGTAAAGATGTATATGTCATATGATAACTATGACTGTAGCTATAAGTTGAAAAATAGTTAGATGGAATCTTTACATATTGGAGATCAAAACCTTAGTAAATCATCTTGTTTAACCATTTAATTTTATAGGTATCAAAACTGACATAATTTTTTTACATATATAACATGTTTATTAAATTCTATTATGGCACGAGGCACTAAAGTGTTATGCAGAATGCAAGACATAATCTGTCTGCCTCATATCTTGCTCTAGTGCATAAATCAGTATAGTATTGATAGGAGGGATTAATCAAGGAAAAGAGTCAAATATAGACCTATTCAATCTCAAAGTTCAATGTTAAATTTCCTCTGAGCATCAGTTGATGTTCGAATATTATTGAGTCAAGAAATGGCTGCATTTTGGAGATGTTAGTGACTTGCTCCATTCACACAGCCAGTCCATAGCCAGAAGGGCTGGGTATAAAACTCTTATCCTTCACTCCTAAATCTGTTCATTTTATTTTATACCATGCTACTTTCTGGGATCAGAGTTAGTAAAATTCTTTGGTTTCTATTTTTAAAAATATTTTATAATAGCTCAAGAATATGAATATTAGTGGAAGACAGAATACACTGTGGAGTAGTGATTTGAAACACATGGTAAATAAGCATAGATATGTTAAAATTCTTTCAGGCGTCTGCTGACCCCAAGAAGAGTTTCCTCTGGAACTGTAATAAGTCATGTTTGCTTTCTAATTGTTTCTCACATTCAGATTAGTTAATATTCCTTCTGGGTTTCCAGGTCTGCCATACTCTTTGTGTCTTCTTTATTTTGTAGTGGCCATCATTATAATTCAGCTCTCAATCTGTTTCTGTATAGTCATTATATATCTAGGCTTTGGCCTTCTGTCTTTATGAGCAGTGACCATAGGAATCACCCCAGTGTCCAACTCCTGTCAAGCCATTCCCTGTCTCAAGGCTTTCAACAGCTCCTTAGTGCTTATTGCTTTAAGGGTATACTCATTTGGTTAATATTCAACACACAGATTTTCCAAATGTACCTTCCACTATTACTCTAGATATATCCAATGCTCCCAGCCAACTATCCTCCGAACGACATGTCTGTACCTTTGTGAATACTGTTTCCATTGCTGAGAATGCATCTTCCCTCAGATCTGCACCCTGAAATCTTAACCCTTATGAAATGCTGGCTTCTCCTTTCAATCTTTCTCGTTCTCCCCAAACAACAGTGACTTCTCTGTTGATACTATACATGTGTTGTACTTTTATTTTTCCATATTCTAATTTTTAGCTGAGTTATTGTGAACTTGATTCACCTTCCTGGAAGTTTATTGAAAAGGAGAACGTTTTTAAGTCAATTTTATTTTCTATTATATACTATACTGTGTGTAACTTGCAGACGGTAGTCAATCAGCACATTTTTATGTTAAAATATGCTAAGCAAAATAAGCTAGTCAGAGAAAGACAAGTATCATATGATCTCACTTATTTGTGGAATCTAATGAACAAAATAAACTGATAAACATAATAGATACAGAGACATGCAAGTAGGGAACAGACTGACAAACCTCAGAGGAAAGGGGGTGGAAAGGGGTGCTGGAGAGCTAAACCAAAGAACTTACATGCATATATGCACAACCAGTGGACACAGACAACAGTGCAGTGAAGAGGGGGGGAGTGGAGAGGAAGGGGTCAATGGGGGGGAAAGGAGTGACATCTGTAATACTTCCAACAATAAAGATAAATTTAAAAAAATTTTTTAACGAAAATTAAATTAGAATGATTTAAAATTATTAAAAAATTAGAGTGAATAAGTAAAACCAAGGCTGTGTTTGCTAGGCCAAAGAGAAGTTTATTAGAAGCCAAACATGCCACATAGACCTAAGATCTAAGATGGAAAGAAAAATGTTGCTACTATTACAGAGACTGGAGAACAGCCTAGGTCTTAATAGCTGAGTCTGGATGGCCATGCAACTTCTGGCTGACTTGAGGTCTTAATGGTTCAAGGCAGGGGGTTAGTTGGCAAGAGAAATGGAAGTGTGACTTATTCAGAAGGTTGAGGCCTTGCTCTAGGCAGTTGGTGCTCTGCTCAGCAGCAGCTGCAGCAGGGGGAGGTCCTGCAGGTGGTACGGCAGGGGGCAGGCTGGCAGCAGGGGGGCCGGCAGCAGGGGGCCTGCACACAGATGGGCTGGCAGCAGGTGGAGGCCCAGCAGCAGGGGCGGCAGACCACAGCCGTGCAGGACGTGGGGCAGCAGGCGATGGGGCGGCAGCAGCCCTCCTGCAGGCCGCAGGGGTCACAGCAGATGGGGCGGCGGCAGGGCTCACAGATGGGGCGCGTGCAGCGGGGCACACAGCTCACAGGGCGGCACACGGTGGTCTGGCAGCAGCAGGGGCGGCAGCAGCAGGGGTCTCTGCAGCAGCAGGGCTGGCAGCAGCAGGGCTGGCAGCAGCCTCCCCCACAGCAGGAGGAGCAGGTGGAGCCGCAGCAGGAGCCGGTCATGGTGGTGTCTGGGGCTGGGCTGGGATGGACTGGTGCGAGGAGTTGGGTGTTCTCAGGTGTGACTGTGCTCCATCCCATCGGGGCCCTTTATATACTCTGGCATGGTATATGAGGTGATGACCCCTCTTGTTTATCTTTGGGCCAATTAAGTAGAATATTGCTTTGACTAATGGTTGCATTGCTCATGACATACTCATGATCTCATTAAAGAACTCTCTTTGTACCCTCAATATGGATATATTCATGCTGTTTATCATCAAAATCTAAGCACTTACAGTCATTTCAGGCGATAGCAGCTCTTAATGCTCATTTTGAGTAGATAGCACCTGATCATTCCTGACAAAATGGTTCTACAGGAATGGAATTTTAAAAGGAAATTAATCATAATATAGGGGTTTATGGAACAATGATCAGATCCTATCCTTGACCCCCAAGAGCTCTCCTGAAAAGCCCATGTGTTAATCACACAGGTATTAGACATGTCCTTCGGGGTGGATTCCTTAGAACTACATGTTACTTGGTGTAATGGAATGTATATATACCTTGAATAGGACTGCAGCTCATATACTTGTATGGGAGGCACAAAACTTTATTTTTGTAAACCAGGCACTGGAATAAAGCATCCAAGACAACCATTCACTTTTTATTTCTTTTCTCCAGTTCATGTTGTGCATATCTCTGGTCCTGATCACAGAATGCTGATCTTATCTCTGAGGCATGACATTTTTAAAAATGAGAATATTGCAGATGTCCCTCATTTTCCCCCTCTGGCCCCCCACCTGCTCCCGCCCACCCCAGGCCTTCACAGCGCTATTGTCTATGTCCGTGGGCTATATATACATGCACGTAAATTCTCTGTTAACCTTATACTTGTTTCTCTTGGATATGTGATGAAGAATGATGTCATGAGAAGTTTTAATTTTCCTTGGCATGGTGCTACAACTAAGAAGTGACAAGATGGGGGTTTTCAACCAGCACTGCAAACATGTACAGTGCACCGTTCGGGGAGAAGTGTCGGGCGCCACCCAGCCGCTGGCTCCGCTGGGCGCTGCTGCCGTGCGATGGCCATGCTTCCCGGGACCCATGGCAGAGGAAGGGCAGGAGCTGCGTGGGGCCGGCTCACTGCTCTCCCATCGTGCCCTCCTGTTACTCACCAGATAGGATTGGGGTCACTTCAGGATCTTTCTCACTGTTCAGAAGAACGTGCCTTGGGCCCCAGGAACGTAAGCTCCCTAAGTGGAATTTCAA